AGGCCGAGCTTCTTGGAGACGCGCATCGGGTTGCAGCCGAGCTCCGATGCGAGGAAGCCGCGCAGTTGGGTGCCGTCGGACACAGCCGGTAGTGCGCCGAGGCAAAACGCACGCAAGAGGCTCGCCATGTAGACGTCCTCTTGGCGTGTCCAGGCACCGGACCGCAGTAGAGTTTCGGTGGCATTGTCGGTGGGCGACAAGAGGTGAGGCATGTCCATGGTGTTAGTTTTCTGCAAATGTTTGGTGGGCGTGCAGTCCGTTGGCACCACCCAGACTTTAAAATAATATTTGAAAGGCTGGGTGGAGCCAACGTACTTTAATATGTACGTCGGGTGAGGTGACGGCAGAAGATCGGTGCTGGTACGGCCGTATTTTTAAAGTTGTACAACATATGCTGTGCTCCTGGTATAGAGCAACTGGTATAATACCATAAAATTATGGGCGACACAGAGAATATATTTTATTCGGTGACCAATCACAACGACAGTGGAAACCCTATCGGGTGGCTGCAACTAGAAGTGCTGCAGCTTTTGGCCGCATGGCAAGCGAACGCGGGCGACTGTGCTGACGAGACGCATCGATTTGCGACCCAATTGCAGTCAAGTGGCATGACATGAGTGTGGCCGTTGCGAAGGACCGAGCGAGCATAGCATACTGATACGGCACTGCAATTATATATGAACGTGTTTCGCGTTATCTTCATAATTACACAAAGACTTCGCATACGTAGAGACTAGCAATCTCCTTCTTCTTCATTCGCTCGCCGGTCCGTGGCTGCGCAGGCGGCGGCTCGTCTGGCTCTTCTGTCGTCGCCCTACGACGCTTGTGGCCGCGGGTGAGGCACTGGACGACACGGTCGGTAAAATCTTTCCAGGCATCGCGGCAAAGCTACGCAGTTTTTCAAGGTCCTCGGCAATCGCCAGCGACTGAGGCGGCGTCAGCGACTGGAGGTCGCGGTGCAGGACTGCAATTGTACGGCAATTATTGCGCGCCTGGTTCAAAGGACGGTCGGCTCGCATTTGCGCGCTGGATTTGATTCCAGCAACCGGTACAGAAAACGCTCTAGGTTTGCATTCGGCTCTATACTCGCTGGCCAACGACGCCAAGGCTACCGCGTCTGTGGCACTCCCAAGATGTCTTTTGCTCCGCTGCAAATTTGTCAACGCGGTCTGGTTCATCTCTCGGCCGCTCGTTGATGCGCTCGCCCTCGACGCTGTTTGCGCTCTTGTTGGACTGCTGTGGTCGGGCCAACGCTATCGGCGACGCGCGGTGCTTCACACCGTCTGACTCGCTCGCAACGCCCGAGCCTTACGTCCCGAAGCGGCTGCCATTCGCGTCGCGTTCTTGACCACGCTGCACCTTCAACTCGATTGCATGTCCTGCTCGGTTCCCCAACCCTACAGGCGGGTGTGACGCTTGCCAGGTGACCAATCAAACACGACGATGCCCCGCCAGCGCTGGTGATTGGTGCAAATGGTATCCAGAGCGAAGGGTGTGTGGGATCGCAACATACTCGTTGCTTTGGGTCGTCAATTCCGCCCATGAGCCCAGAAGTCGATGCCGAAAGAATTGGTCGAGAAGGAATTCGACTTATCATTTTGAGTGGTGTCCTCTCGTACCGTAATTTGGTATAGGAACATCGTCGTCCAGTGCAATCGCTAGTGCCACTCCGCTTCTGATCTTGGATTCCAAGATGGTGTCTCGCGACGGGCAAGCAAGAAGGCAGTAGCCATAGAGCAAACCTCCCTAAAAAACAGCCACTGAACGCTGTGGTACGATGCTTCCGCTCCGTCGGCC